CCAAATGGCGATTGCTCCTTGTTGGTTAAAATCTCCACCAGGGCCCCTTCCTCTGTTCTGCCTCCACGGATAGAGGGCAAGGTTGTAGCTAGCTCTTTTTGGAAGGTTTGTCTGTGCTGTTTACACAGATCTCTGAATTGCTGGATTTTCCTCTGGATCTCGGGGAAGGTTGTAGCCGTTCTGTCCTTCACCATGTCGTTGCACCGGACGTCGCACTCAGTCAGGTGCTCCATGGCACTTTGAGCATCATAAACCAGCACCGCGCTGATCTCGCACACTAGCTGAGCGGCTCTGGAGTCCAGCTTGCTCAGTGGGTACAGCCAGACTCGCACCGGTACAGCGTTTTCACCAGAGACGCCAAACCGCTTCGGGAGAGTGGAGTAAACTCCCATGGCATCTTGGTAAGTAACCGGATTGTTCTCCAGAGCAAAATCGCCATAAAATTTGCAACTAAAATTTTCAGTTCTTTCTTCTGCCCTGTTCCTCTTTTTCCCAGACACCTCTGCTCCTCCAGAAACCATTGGGATCTTTTCTATCATCAGTTTCATTTTCCCCTCTATCTCTCTCATACTCTCTGATGAAGAAACTTCCCGATCAAACACAAAGAAAGCCTGAGCCCCGTACAGCACAGCTGTGACCACATGGGTGGCCGTGCCTTGGTCAAATACAGCAGGATAAGAGACGTTCTCAGTACCCAATTGGCTCATAGTCAGGTGCTCAAACCTGTTTGTCACTGAGTAGTGGAGAGCAACTCGAGCGTGATTTTTTGATTTCTTTGTATCATTTAAAAATGCTGCAGATCCACCTACTTCCACCATCCCCCCCAGGAGACTGGCCTTCAGGGATGCAGACAGACTGAGGGCTGAGGCTTTATCTTCAATGGTGTCGGACGCAATGATCTGGAATTCAGTATTGTGCTTTGGCATTGTCTCCACGTCTTTCTTAAGGGCCTCAATGCCCCATAAAGTGATACCTGGAAAATTCCACACAAGCACATAGTCAGTGATCACGGGAGAGGATAAGAAATTGTTGCAATTTCATTTATTAAAGTTGCCACCTATTAAAGAGACACCATGAGCAAAAGAACACAGCACTGAGGGCTCAAATCAATGCGCCCTGTCATCTGACCCTCCACTTGAGTCTCCATCTATCTATCTTGCTCTGTCTAGTAATGTGCTAGCTTCACTGTTACCTCATTCTCTCCTCCTCCGTTTGTCTCACTTCATCACAATCTAGATTTTAAGCTCTTTGGGGCAGGAGCTGCCATTTTATACTGTGTATATAGACACTGACTAGTAATGAGGCCATGATCCTGGATTGGTGCCCGGGGGGCTACTGCCACACAAACAGTAATAACTAAGGCACTGATCACCATGGTCTCCATGTGCAAGTATAATATCATATCAGGATTAGCAAGAGTTTTGCAATGCCAGGTATGCCGCCCCACCAGTTTACAGAATAATAAGAACATAAAAACGGCCGTATTGGGTCAGACCAAAGGTCCTTCTAGCCTAATATCCTGTCTACCAACAGTGGCCAGTGCCAGGTGCCCCAGAGGGAATGAACAGAACAGGGAATCATCAAGTGATCCATCCCCTGTCGCCCATTCCCAGCTTCTGGCAGAGGCTAGGGACACCATCCCTGCCCATCTTGGCTAATAGCCATTGATGGACCTATCCTCCATGAACTTATATAGTTCTTTTTTGAACCCTGTTATAGTCTTGGCCTTCACAACATCCTCTGGCAAGGAGTTCCACTGGTTGACTGTGTGTTGTGTGGAAAAAATACTTCCTTTTGTTTGTTTTAAGCCTGCTGCCTATTAATTTCATTTGGTGACCCCTAGTTCTTGTGTTATGAGAAGGTGAAAATAATACTTCCTTATTTACTTTCTCCACACCAGTCACGATTCTTTAGACCTCTATCATATCCCCCCCTTAGTCTCCTCTTTTCCAAGCTGAAAAGTCTCAGTCTTATTAATCTCTCCTCATATGAAAGCCATTTCATACCCCTAATTATTTTTGTTGCCCTTTTCTGAACCTTTTCCAATTCCAATATATCTTTTTTGAGATGTGGCTACCACATCTGCATGCAGTATTCAATATGTGGGTGTACCATGGATTTATATAGAGGCAATATGTTATTTTCTGTCTTATTATCTAGCCCTTGCTTAATGATTCCCAACATTCTGTTCACTTTTTTGACTGCCGCTGCACATTGAGTGGATATTTTCAGAGAACTATCCACAATGACTCCAAGATCTCTTTCTTCAGTGGTAAACGCTAATTTAGACCCCATCATTTTATACATATAGTTGAAATTATGTTTTCCAATGTGCATTACTTTGCATTTATCAACATTGAATTTCATCTGCCATTTTGTTGCCCAGTCACCCAGTTTTGTGAGATCCCTTTGTAACTCTTCACAGTCTGATTTGGGCTTAACTATCTTGAGTAGTTTTGCATCATCTGCAAATTTTGCCACCTTGTCATGCCCCAATGGCCCCCTCCCTCAAGTTCTGGGGGGGGGGGGCAGATCAACATTGTATGTTGCTAACGCTGTTGCAGGCATCGCAAAGCATTTTGGGAAAACTTAAAGGTGTGAATGGGAATGGAAGTTTCCTTTGCAGGTTATGAGAAGCCAAGGGGAGGGGAGAGAAGAAGAAAAGAGCAGAGAACGGGTTAATTGAACACTTCAGCTAGCTCAGTTCGAAGATAAGACGCTGGCCACAGCTCACAGCGGCGCTTGGCTGCCAGCCGAGAAAGATGGGGGCTTGAAATTTACCCCAAGCAGCCATGAGAAGAGGAGCAGCGAGAACAGTGAGAGCGAATGAGACAGTGACAGCGAAGACCAACAGAAGGAAAAACAAAGTCTCCGGAGCCAGGATGTTTTGGGAAACCAGGGAGACCACAGCAAGCCTGTTTAGACTGGTACAAAGAGCACCAGGCACAGAGGGCCTTGGACGAAAACACCCCCAAAGGAAACCAGAACTTAAAACCCCTCTGAGAGCCAGAGCAACTCGAAAATAAGCAGCAGACTTGGATGGCCTGGGCCCAGGACAGCACTCCCGTCCACCTTTCCCCCCTTCCCCTCCTCTTCTTCTGACTCTACACCCAGGCTTGGCCAGCCTTGGGTAGTGTGGGTGTGAGTATGGAAGTGGGTTAGGGCTTGGAGCACTAACGCTTTCTTTTTTCCCCTGAGTGACGTGGGAGCGTTCCCAGCACTCTCTGCTGTTGTTTTATTATTTTCTTAATAAAGCTTTAAAATTCAGTCACATAGTGTGTTCCTGTATTTCCCCCCCTCTCCCTCCCGAACGGACCTGTGGTCTCAGATTGATCACCTGAGATCCTAGGCAGACTGGTAACAGAAATCTGTCAGAACCTCACTGTTTACTGCTTTTTCCAGAGCATTTATGAATATGTTGAATAGGACTGGTCCCAGTACAGATCCCTGGGGGACACCACTATTTACCTCTCTCCAGTCTGAAAACTGACCATTTATTCCTATCCTTTGTTTCCTATCTTTTAACCAGTTACCAATCCATGAGAGGACCTTCCCTTTTATCCCATGACAGCTTACTTTACTTAAGAGCCTTTGGTGAGGGACCTTATCAAAGGCTTTTTGAAAATCTAAATACAGTATCTCCACTGGATCCCCCTTGTCCACATGTTTGTTGATCCTCTCAAAGAATTCTAGTAGATTGGTGAGGCATGATTTCCCTTTACAAAAACCATGTTGACTCTTCCCTATCAAATCACGTTCATCTATGTGTCTGATAATTCTGTTCTTTACTATAGTTTCAACCAATTTGCCCAGTACTGAAGTTAGGCTTACAGGCCTGTATTTTCTGGGGTCACCTCTGGAGCCTTTTTTAAAAATTGGCATCACATTAGCTATCCTCCAATCATCTGGTACAGAAGCTGATTTAAATGGTAGGTTCCATACCACCGTTAGTAGTTCTGCAATTTCACAGTTCCTTCAGAACTCTTGGGTGAATACCATCTGGTCCTGGTGGCTTATTGCTGTTTAATTTATCAATTTGTTCAAAACTTCCTCTAATGACACCTCAATCTGGGACATTTCCTCAGATCTGTCATCTAAAAAGAATGGCTCAGGTTTGGGAATCTCCCTGACATCCTCAACCATGAAGACCGAATCAAAGAATTCATTTAGTTTCTCCACAATGGCCTTATCGTCCTTGAGTGCTCCTTTAGCATCTCGATTGTCCAGTGGCCCCACTGGTTGTTTAGCAGGCTTCCTGCTTCTTGATGTACATTAAAAAAAAGTTGCTGTTACTTTCTGAGTCTTTGGCTAGCTGTTCTTCAAATTCTTTTTTGGCCTTCCTAATAATATTTTTACACTCACTTGCCAGAGTTTCTGCTCCTTTCTATTTTCCTCACTAGGATTTAACTTCCACTTTTTTAAAGGATGCCTTTTTGCCTCTAACTGTTTTTCTTCTTTGTTGTTTAGCCATGGTGGCACTTTTTTGGTTTTCTTACTATGTTTTTTAATTTGGGGTATACATTTAAATTGAGCCTCTATTATGGTGTTTTTAAAAGTTTCCATGCAGCTTGCAGGGATTTCAATTTTGGCGCTGTACCTTTTAATTTCTGTTTAACTAACCTCCTCATTTTTGTGTAGTTCCCCTGTGATAAATGAAAGGGGGGGGAGGGTAGCTCCCTTTTATGGACCCAGCCAGCCAGTTAGCTATAAAATCCCTCTTAGTAGCTGTTCTCTACTTGCTTTACCTGTAAAGGGTTAAAAGACGTGAGTTGGCACCAGGCCAGGAGAGCCAATGGAAAGGCTAGAACTTTTAAAAATTGAAACAAGACTCCCCTTTTGTCTGTCTGCGGTTGTTCTCTGGGAGCGAGGGAACAGGGCAGAACTCTGCTGTAAGAAGCTTGGGGCCAGGTATGAAAAAATCATCAGGATCATACCTAGAATCTACTCATTTAAAACCCCAGATATGTACGTAGATCAGGAAATGTCTAGGAAGACATGATTAGGTTTATCCCTTTTATTTCTTTATGGCTTGTGGACTCCTCTGTGCTAACCCCAGGTGCTTTTGTTTTGCTTGTAACCTTTAAGTTGGACCTTAAGAAAGATATTTTTGGTTCTTAATTCTTGTATTTCCTCTTTTAAAATCTAGCAATAGCCTGAGTTCCCAGATGTATTTTCTTTCTTTTGTTTTTAATAAAATTTACTTTTTTTAGATCAGGATTGGATTTTTGTGTCCTAAGAGGTTTGTGCACATGTTGTTTAATTAGCTGGTGGCAACAGCTGATTTCCTTTGTGTTTTTTTTTTTAGTTTTTCCCCGGGGGGGGGGGGGGGGGTGTGAAAGGGCTTGAGGGTACCCCACAGGAAGGAATTCCCAAGTGCACCTTCCTGGGTTCTCAAAGGGATTTTTGCACTTGGGTGGTGGCAGCATCTCCCCATCCAAAGCCAGAGAAAAGCTGTAACCTTGGGAGTTTAATACAAGCCTGGAGTGGCCAGTATTAATTTTTAGAATCCTTGCAGGCCCCACCTTCTGCACTCGAAGTGCCAGAGTGGGGAATCAGCCTTAACATCCCATTTCTGAAATTAAATGTTACAGTGTTGGGCCACTGTGGTGTTCCCCCTCCCCCCCCCCCAAAGATGTTAAATTTTATTATATTATGGTCACTATTACCAAGCAGTTTAGCGATATTCACCTCTTGGACCTGATCCTGTGCTCCATTTAGGACTAAATCAAAAATTGCCTCTCCTCCTGTGGGTTCCAGGACTAGCTGCTCCAAGAAGCAGTCATTTAAGGTGTCAAGAAACTTTATCTCTGCATCCCGCCCTGAGGTGACACGTACCTAGTCAATATGGGGATAATTGAAATCCCCCATTATTATTGAGTTTTTTATTTTAATAGCCTCTCTAATCTTCCTGAGCATTTCAGAGTCACTTACACCATCCTGGTCAGGTGGTCAGTAATATATCCCTACCGCTGTATTCTTATTATTAAAGCATAGAATTACTATCCATAGAGATTCTATGGTACAGTTTGGTTCGGTTTAAGATTTTTACTTCATTTGACTCAATGCTTTCTTTCAAATATAGTCAAGTATCAGGGGGTAGCCATGTTAGTCTGTATCCACAAAAACAAGGAGTCCAGTGGCACCTTAAAGACTAACAGATTTATTTGGGCATAAGCTTTTGTGGGTAAAAAACCCACTTCTTCAGATGCATTGGAAAAAATAACCCCAACTATAAATACAATATGATGGGGGCTAATTTAGCTACAACAAATCAGGAAAGAGATCTTGGAGGCATCGTGGATAGTTCTCTGAAGATGTCCACGCAGTGTGCAGCGGCAGTCAAAAAAGCAAACAGGATGTTAGGAATCATTAAAAAAGGGATAGAGAATAAGACGGAGAATATCTTATTGCCCTTATATAAATCCATGGTGTGCCCACATCTTGAATACTGCGTACAGATGTGGTCTTCTCATCTCAAAAAAGATATACTGGCACTAGAAAAGGTTCAGAAAAGGACAACTAAAATGATGAGGGGTTTGGAACGGGTCCCATATGAGGAGAGATTAAAGAGGCTAGGACTTTTCAGCTTGGAAAAGAGGAGACTAAGGGGGGATATGATAGAGGTATATAAAATCATGAGTGATGTGGAGAAAGTGAATAAGGAAAAGTTATTTACTTGTTCCCATAATATAAAAACTAGGGGCCACCAAATGAAATTAATAGGCAGCAGGTTTAAAACAAATAAATGGAAGTTCTTCTTCACACAGCGCACAGACAATCTGTGGAACTCCTTGCCTGAGGAGGTCGTGAAGGCTAGGACTATAACAGGGTTTAAAAGAGAACTAGATGAATTCATGGAGGTTAAATCCGTTAATGGCTATTAGCCAGGATGGGTAAGGAAGGGTGTCCCTAGCCTCTGTTTGTCAGAGGATGGAGATGGATGGCAGGAGAGAGATCACTTCATCATTAGCTGTTAGGTTCACTCCCTCTGGGGCACCTGGCATTGGCCACTGTCGGCAGACAGGATACTGGGCTGTATGGACCTTTGGTCTGACCCAGTATGACCATTCTTATGTTCTTATGTTCTAAAAGAGTTTGTAATCAAGCAAAGTTATTAATTCACAAAGTTATGAAAGATTTTTGTTGTGAATAGATTTGGGCTCAATCCTGCTATCACTGATTTCAACTAGAGTGGCGGTTCTCAAACTATGGGGCGGACCTCCCAAGGGAGGTGCAGGAATGTGTCAAGGGAGGTGCGAGCTGTGTGCCTTCTTTTTTTTTTTTTTTTTTTTGGAGAAGAGCTCTGGCTGTCAGCCACCGGCCATGCACACCCAGGGAGCAGGGATAAAGAGGACAACCAGAGGCACATCACCCAGGCTCGGGCTCTTCTTCCCCTTCTCCCCTCTGCCTTCAGAGCTGGGCGCCCGGGCAGCAGCCGCTGCTCTCTGCTCTGCCTTCAGCGCTAGGTAGCGGTGTATGTACTTGTAGGTGGGGGAGGCGTAAACAACTACAGACACAAAGAGGGGGGGGGCGATTAAATAAGTTTGAGAACGACTGATCTAGAGTAATGGGCCCAATCCTTCTCCTGTTGTGCTGTGCTTCCATTATGTCAATGGAGCAGCAGTTAAGTTGCTCCATAGTTGAGGCTCGATCTAGCGTGCTTGTAGAGCGTCTAACACAAATAAGTTCTGGTCCTTCCCTGGAGCCTCTAAGCCTTACTGCACTACAGATATTAAATACATTTCCCATGCAACATCTCATCCCAGGGCAATTTTTTTCTGGGAAGTTTGTTACCAAACAGAAAAAAAAATTACAGTTTCTGAAAATTTTACCTGAAGTTCTTTTATAAAAAAAATTCCCAACTTCTTTAGTTCATCTTTGGCCTAAATTGGCTTGACTAAGAAACTCCAAATTTGTTTTGTTGGTTTTGTTCAGGAGAACTGCTTATTGGTTTGGAGGGGTGGGGGAATTAGAAATAGAGAATAATAATATTATGATAATCTAAGATTAGAATAGTTTTATAACATAATAAAATCCAAACTAAACTAGGCAGGGAAGGGGTTGACTACCTAGACACTTCTATGACCTCATACTCTTTAATGTATTTATTCTCACAACACCCCTGTAAGGTAGAGAAGTATCATTATTCCATTTTTACAGATGGAGACCTGAGGCCCAGAAAGATTAAGTGACTAGCCCAAGGTCACGCATGTCTCCTGAGATCCTGAGCAGCTCCCTCCTGGACAATCTTTCCCCTCAGACTTAGTACCCATTACAGCCAGAATAGAGAGCACAGGAAGATTGGGGAAGGGGTTATGGAAATGTTCTATTTCCCCACACCAGTGAGCAAGAACTGACCATCTTGCTTTGCTGCTTGAAGGAAGTTTCATGTTACCTAAGACAAAATGAACGGCTTGTTTGAACATTTCTCAAGCTGCTCTTAGTGCTTCTCTCAAATGAACATGTAGGTTTTATCTAAGCAGTTGAACTTATTGCCTAGTAAGTTTCTGGGAAATGCTTTTTTCTAAGGACTCTTTAAACATTTCATTCATTTATCACTAAATGTCTTGGTTTTAGATCTAACCAGTCACTTCCCACTCTCACAACTGACGACATCGTAAAGAGGCAAAGAGTGAACCAGGTGTTATGTTGAAAGGGTCCCGCAGGGTAGGTAAGTTGGCAAGAGGTCCATAAACTACAACAAACAAATACAAGTGTGTTTGGTGCAGCTCTAACCATACCTGGTATGAGCGTGTCGCTGCAGCAGTCGTACAGCATCCCCAGCCGCAGAGGGCGGCCCGGGGCCGGCATCTCAATTGTTGAAGCTCCAGAGTAAGCCATGGTGGTAGGTGAGAGGCCAATCCAGCCCTAAAAAACACCAGCAGCACAGTTACACAGACAATGTGATCTCCTCCGATTCATGATCGCCCTATTTGGCTTTTGTCCCCTATGAGTTTCTGCTTGATACTGTTACGTGTTGGGTTCTACCTTGTTGTTATGGGTCAGGTGTAACCACCACTTTGTATTCAGGGTAAATGTAAAAAAGCCACGCAATCGGTGGCTGAAACAACAGCAGTAGCACCCAAAACACAGGCACATGGAAAAGCTTGAGCAGAAGTTGACCCACGTGGCCCAAGCTGAAACACAGAGACAGACAGAAGCAGCCCAAAGCCAAGCAGCCAGTAACAGAAGTGCTGGTAATGTGGCCCTGAGAGAAAGCGAAGAGAGAGAGATTTTGGGGCACAGAGTGCTGGCTGGAAAGGGGACTGGAACAGCAAGAAACTGTCTCCTGGTGTTTGATTCCTACTGTGTTCAGGGAAACAGAACTTAAGAACATAAGAATATAAGAACGGCCATACTAGGTCAGACCAAAGGTCCATCTAGCCTAGTATCCTGTCTTCCAACACTTTGTGCTGGAACAATCCTTGCTGGGTAATGGGGTCAGGTAGTTCCATTACATACATGAGCTGCAAACTGTCCTTCAGCTGAATTGCAAATACCTTTCCCCCTGCTGGTGAATGTCTGATTATATAGGTAATGGCTCTTTAGCACCTTGCTGGCATGCAAGTGTGCCTTTGTCTCTGAGAAACTGGCTTTTTGGCATTACCCAGAAATACAACATACTTCAGTAATAATCATACAGTAAAATCTCATAGTTTTACATGCAGTGTTGTTACACACATCGTAACAGGACAATGATGTTCAGCAGCTTATGAGTTTTCAAAAGATATCTCATAAGGCATACTTTGTACAAAATATATCAGAATCATATAAAAGTGGTGAACATGGGGTACAGGGTGTCACATTGGGTACAGCGTGTCACAGACTCTATCATCAACCTCTCCTCCTAGCTAGAACAACACACAAGAACCCAAATCTGGCTAACCACTTGGATCAAAAGTTCATCTTGGCTGGGAAACAGAAGGTTTATTCCCTATTCAGCAAATAATTGTACTTCTACTGAGGCAGCTGCACAATATCCCCCTCGTGGGAAGGTGATTTATTTATTTATTTTCGTATTTAAAAAACACCTTAGTAACATGTCACAGAACAAATGTACTGAACAAAGTCTAAAAGAGCATAACTTACATGTGTTACAAGAGCAAGAGATCCTCCAGACCATGAATTCTATGTGGGAGGGTCATATGAGGGAAATTAAAATAGTATTTAGCCAATCAGAAGATGGACTTAACAGTTACAAGAGTCTAAAGGTATCAGTGGGGCAGCGGAGTTTCCTGTTCAGCGGGGAAGAAGCTCCAGTCTGGCAGGAGAAGACTGTGGGATTCTAGCCCTGCAGGGGATCAGGAGTTTCTGGTCTGTTAGGAATGGGAGGCAAGTTCTTGCCCAGCAGGGAAGGTGCTTGGGGTTAATAATCCAGTGGGTGCAGGTTGGGAGGATTCTTTCCAGCAGGAGATGGGGCATTTCCAATCTAATGGAGACTAGGGCTGGGGATCCAGCCTGGAGACAGAAGTTGATTCCAGACTAGTAGGGGAGGAGTGAGTCCTAGGCTAGGTCTACACTGCAGCGGGGGTCCGACCTAAGATACGCAACTTCAGCTACGTGAATACCATAGCTGAAGTTGCGTATTTTAGGTCGACTTACCTGGCTGTGAGGACGGGGGAAAGTCGACCGCTGCCGCGCTGCCGCCGACTCCGCTGCCGCCTCTTGCCGCGGTGGATTTCCGGAGTCGACGGCAGAGCGATCAGGGATCGATTTTATCGCGTCTTCACTAGACGCGATAAGTCGATCCCAGAACATCGATTGCCTGCCGCCGGACCCTCCGGTAAGTGTAGATGTACCCCTAGTCAGGTGGAAGAGGATTCTGGCTGCAGCTAGAGGGCAGCTTATTTTAATAGCTGTGGTACATAAAAGTCAGAATAAATCAGAGAACTTTGTACAAAGAAAGAATCTCTGAGCTAAAATTCAGCAAAAATGGAGCCATCCTCATTCATAAAAAGAAACCAGCTAGGGGAAAAACTGAACAAACATTTATCTGAAGACATCTCAAAGCCAACGGGCTGAAGTAAACAATATTCTTAATGCAGAGGAGGAGACACAGACACACGACTCGCTTCTCTAATCAGGACACAAAGTCCTAATGAACCTGGCTCAGTGCAACCATTAAAGGCATCAGAATGATCAGCAGACACAGAAATAGCAGCAAATGAAATGGATTTTTAATCATACTGCTTGCCACAAAAGTCCAGGCCCTTCCACACCCAGAAGCTTCCAGCCATCTAACACTAAATACACACTCTCCAGCTCAGTTAAATAATATAATTTTGACAGTTGAGAGAAAAGGCAATTTAGCAGCACCCTACACTTATCCCACAGATTTCTGTTCATAATTCACACCCCAGCAGCTGGCTCCCACTAGGGTTACCATCCGTCCGGGTTTCCCCGGACATGTCCGGCTTTTGGGTCTTTAAATAGCCGTCCGGGGGGAATTTGTAAAAAGCTAAAAATGTCCGGGATTTCCCCCCGGACGGCTATCTAAAGACCCAAAAGCGGCTGACAGGGCAGCCGCGCCGGATTGAGCCGCTCCGGCAGCAAAAGCCCCTCCCCCGCTGCAGCTTCAGCACGCCGGTAGCAAAGCGGGAGCAGGAGCTGTTTGTGCCGCTACAAACTAGAGTGGCCCAGAAAGCCACCCCCCTGCCCATGGCAGCCGGCCCTGATTGGCCAGCCCCGCTCCCTCCCCCGCGCTGGGGGCGAGTCAAGAAACAGGGAACAGGAGGGTTGGATGGGGTGGGGGTTCTTGGGGGACCTGTCAGGGGGCAGGGGTGTGGAGAGGGATTGGGGCAGTCAGGGGACAGGGAGCAGGGGGAGGGTTGGATGGGTCAGGGGTTCTGGGGGTGGCCTGTCAGGGGGCAGGGGTGTGGAGAGGGATTGGGGCAGTCAAGGGACAGGGAGCAGGGGAGGGTTGGATGGGGTGGGGGTTCTGGGGG